TTTTAATGCTGCGTTCCTCATCTCAGCAGCTAGCAAAGAGTTAAGGTGACTGCTTTGAGGCGTATTCAGCACAGCCATCACTTCTTGCTTCTTATCCTCTAATTCCGTCTGATCTTGTATCAGGCTCCTCTTGGATTCCTGAGCATTTCGGTCTTTTCCTTTAACCTCAAGTTCTGTGTCCATTTCTGGGTCTTTGTTGTCATTTGGTTTAGGAACTTCTACAATCAAAAGACTATCTTCTGTATTTTCAGGGTCGGTAGAACCTATTGCTGGTTGTGCTTCCCCACTTTTGCTGTCTAGGATTAACACATCATCTTCTGTTTCTTCCTCTGAATTAGAACTCTCTAAGTCCATCATTCCTGGTTTTTCTTCATTTCCTGTGACTATAGAGAAAATAGTATCCCCCAAGGAGGTTAGTATATTTTTGTCATCTTCTCTGATGCCCGGGGGCTGAGCTATCTCCGTTACACCCTCTTCATTTGACTTCTGCTCTTTATCTGTTGAATACTTCTCAACTTCTGATTTCTCTGGAGTTTTCATCTCTTCTCTATCTGTAAAGCTTAGTAATGGTAGATCATCAAAGTTCTCTATGCTCTCCTCATCCTCTTTTCCAACTGCGTAATACTCAGCATCCAAGTCGTCATCAAAGTCATCTTCTAATGAAGTAACAAGTCTAGTTGTTTCATCATCCGATACAAGAGCATCACCAGTTGAGCCAAATTTGGTTTTCAAGTCCAGAGTCATTTCTTTTTTCAAAAGTTTGTAAGTGTCAGTCTTCTCCTGTCCATCTGAGATTTGAGAACCATTGCTGATTTTGTTGTTTTCACTTCCTGCCACTTTTAACTTTTCTTGCAACATTTCTTCCAAAGGGTCAAATGAAGATTGCTGTCCTTGAGCATTATCTGTTTGACTGTTTGTGTGATGGTGATTCTTAGGAACCTCAAGTCTTTCCTCTAGATCCTTCGTGTTTTCAGAGAATACACTTTCACTTGCCTCTAAGTTGGCTTCCTTGGGTTCGTGTTCAGGGTTACTTTCCTCAGATACTTCAAGAAATTTCCCTACATGTTTGATTGCTTTCTGGGAGTCTTCAGTTGCAGAATCATATAATTCCCAAGAGCCTAAAAGTTCTTCTACATTATAATTATCAAAATCATCTCTTCCCCCATCAAAACAAACAAAATCTGTCTCCTGTAATGAAAAGAAAAACATTAGTATGTCATTAACCAAGTTGTCACAAACTTTCACTCAGGCTAAGCTAATCATGGGGCTAACCCATTCTTGTTTGGCTCTCCCAGAGATTTTGTGCCCACCTTTGGTGATTACTGTTCTTGGGCAGTGAGATCAGAGATCAGAGGCTGGGATTCACTT